TATATATATATATATATATATATATATATCAAAACATATTTAAAACATTATAATTTAAAATTTTTATTTATTTTTTAAATAAATTTATTTATTTTTTTAAATAATGTTATCTTAAAACATTTCAGGGATTTAGGTCCCTATGGGGAACCCATCCCTGTCAGGACGGGGATAGGGGTTAATTTCAGAATCGAGATCGGGGATAGGAAATATAACCCCCGCGCCAAATCCGCCCCAAACCCGCCCCATTGCCATTCCTATGCCCAGGTGGCCAGATGTGCTGTGCTCAAATCATTTTTGTGTCAAAATCTGAACATTTTTTATTTCGTTTACATTTGAGTCATAATGTCATAAAGGGAATTAAAATTAATGGGCAAAATGATTATCTTTTAGCGAGAAATCAATGGAGTTTTATGTGTTGATCTCATCTTCACAGAGACCTAACCAACATTGTGATCTTAAATAGTATAATTAGATTTGTTTTGGATTCATTCCGTACAATTTGATTAAGATCAGAGGCAATAATTTTGATGTATAAATAAACAATTTTGATTCTCTACTTTTTTTTTTGTTTGTTATTAGAGTTTCATTAAGATAAAGGAGATAGCAAAGTGCCAACCAGCTGGTTGGTAAGGTCTTCTGCCGATGGAGACTTGGGATCGAATTCCTACTCCACCTGGGTTGGGGATGGGCTATCCCATTGTAGCCGTTCAGAAGATATAAAAAAAAAAAAAAAAAAAAAAAACAGACAAGTGACTAAAGAAAGAACAAAGAAGAAGAAAACCAAATAACAAATGGTATAGAATACCATAACAAGCAATTCAATACCCGATGATAAATCTTGAACGATTCAAAAAATAGTTATATAGGTATAATAGCTATTATGTAACCAGGTCAAACCTATAAGAGACAAAGTAGTAAATTGGTTTTGAGCACCGCTGATGGATCAATTGCTTGATTGTTCTTCTCCAATTCATTTACCCATAACAAAATGAAATATTACAGTCGCATCTAGTTATGCGATAGTTGATGACAACTAGGACAAAGTGACAAACAATTGTAATAGCACATAAGGGTGTTCATAAGCCTGGATCTAGATTGTTGGTAACTGAAGGTCTGAAATCAAACTACTTTTATTCATCCAACATCAAAGAGAGATCCTATAACTCAAATTATGCTAGAGAATGCGCCCCCCCCCCCCCCAAAAAAAAAAAAATAATAAAAAAATAAATAAGAAAAAAAGAAAAAAGAAAAAAAAAATCTTCTTACATTGTTTGGTGAACTGAAAAATAGGATGGTACATGGGCACAGAAAAGGGTGGGAGAAAGGGATTGACTCGTAGTTGAGCCCCAAGAAAGAATCACTAGACACAATATGGGGTAAAGAAATATGGGGATCATCCATGTTGTGACCCAAGTAAGCTGACAGATCATGCAGTCGATTCTGACAGATAATTTTCTTTAATAATCTGCAATACATCTTTCATTATCGAAGCCCGACAAAGTCACGCTATGATAACTGTACAAAGTGTAAAAATTTTATGATTGATAATCTACCTAATACCAAGGTTGGATATCTTCCCAATATTCAGAGACAAATTTAGGCACATGAAACTTTTAATTAGGCCTCCCAAGTCCCAACTTAGTCCCATACCCTTCTGTGCCTACAATATTGGGATAGCAAATTACCCTGACTATCAATTAAACAGACAGGTCATGCTCATTTCAGCAAATGCTCATCAGATCGAATTCAAATCCCATGTACCCAATCGGAGAATCAAATCACATTAGTTGGAGGCCCAGAAATCCACCACCCTAACAAACCCATCCTTTTCCAGCTGTAACCTAGTTTCATTTCAGAGAAAATGAGGTGCCAACACATATGAAACTTTAAAACTTTAGGATAGGGAGAAACAGTAGTAATATTGATGGAGGGAAGAAAGTTCACCCCGGGCCCATGAACTATCTTATACACTTCCACTATCTTGCAAGACTATAAAGACCCCTTATCTGATGACAGTAATAGAGTAACTCATCCACAAAGTAGCGTTGCATGTGCTAATTCAATCCTTTAATATTTTCAATAAAACTACTCAAAAAATGTTTGATTAATTAAAGAAATAAACGTAACTTCATAGAACTAGCAGAGCTGATGTTTCCAGCATCATTAGACAATCTAGTCCTTTATTCCAGTACATAGAGAACAAGAAATCCCTTGCCTATGCCTTTTAATTTATTAATACATTCCCTACATACACGAGGACAATTAAAAAGGATTTCTTAAATAAAACACCTCAAGTTAAAACACCATTATCTGCACCATAGTGATTGGGCTGGCTGGTGTAAATAATAGTGATGCTCCAAGGAGACATCTGATGGACCACTTGACAAGACAACAACAAACAAATCCTTCAAATGGTGAATCTAACTAGATATTCCCTATCAAACAGAGACACGCATTCAGACCACAGATCTTTATAGAAATGATCAAAACATATTTACATCAAGAGTCCAAAAAGACACTGTATTTCTTAAAACATCTTCAAACATCACAATTACATATTACCCTTGACATCTACTTTCTGACCAGTGACTTCCAGAATGCAGAATGCTAGAGGAGTTCAAAGTCAGTGTTATCTTGGTCTTTATAATTACATACTGATAAAATAGTTGTTATTGTTTTCCATTTTCGACAATACTTACAACTTTCACATACCAGATTATGCTAAGCAACTAAAATCCATCCACCTGGTAGTTTTCCCACAAGAAAATATAGATTTTCTCAGGAAATCAAAACTCAAAGCATCCACCCAGGAATATAACCATTGACATTTTGGGCTGAAGCAGCAACAGTTATCTGATCTGGACCAACAGGATTATATCTGTAGCCAGAACAAAGAAGGAAAAAAGAAAATTAGAAAAAAAAAGTTGTAAAGCCATCATTTTTTAAAAAAAAATAGAAATTTACAGTTGATGAACTTACCCAATTTGCAAAGTTGAATTGCCTTCCAAAGGTTGGAAGAACCCCTCTGATTGAGAAGGCTGGCGACTATAAGAGATGTTTTGCCCACCAGCTTCCCATGTCAGCCGAAGAGGATTCTCAGAACTACTTTCATCCAGCTGCCAGAAGAAAAGTAATATCAATGATATTAGAAAACATAAAAGGTCTTGCAGTAGTCCTGCACATCCAGAGTAGGACATTTTTCAGTAGTTTGCTATGTTTCATAGTGTAAAGGCATGAAGAAAACCAGTAAAATAAAAGATCAAACCAAAATGTATCAGAATGTTCAGATGCATGGCTTTTTGAAGCCCAGCTAATGATGACCTCTAAACTGGTTTGAGGGAAACCGAATTTTACAAAAGATAAAATTCAACCTATCAAAAATTCAGTGCCAGAATGAATATGGCAGCTCATTTAGGAGTATATGCCTAATCACTGAGCATAGCAGTATATTAGTTACATACAAAGGAAAAAAGATTTTCTAATAGAACCAAATTGGGAAAGCCATCCAGATTTACCCTGCCTATTTCAGCCAAGGGGAACTAAATTTGACAAAAGATAAAATTGAACCAACCAAAAATTCGGCGCCAGAATGAGAAAGCAGCTCATTTAGGAGTATATGCCTAATCACTGAACATAGCAGTATATTAGTTACATACAAGGAAAAAGATGTCTTAATAGAACCAAATTGGGGAATCCATCCAGATTAACCCTGCCTATTCATCCATGTAGAAATCCTGTCTCCAATCTGAACCATCCATTGGATCTGGATTAACATGTTAATTGAATCTGCATTCACCCCCACACTGCACCATGAATTGGAGTTTTCCTGACTGCTATCAGCCATCCTATGTTTCAATATTTTAATTTAGAATGTGATACTGAATAAGGGATGGTGTGCAACTTTGGTGGGCTTGGGTTTATAATTTGTTAAAATTTGAATGGGTTTGGTACCCAACTTGCACCCCTAACAAGGGCTTATTCTAGTAATATGACAAGGAAGTTTAATCTGAGCTACGCTGATATATAGCAGGTGGATTAAAGGAAAATGTGACCCTCTTGGAGCCCAAGCATATTGCCAAATGAAAGATTCACGAGCCAGTCTAACAGATCCATCAGCTTAAATATGTGCACATTGCATGCATGTATATCAAAGAAAAAACATTGTATGAATAATATGAGGCCTAGTTGAAACATCCAGACCTGACTTCAGAGCCAAATAGCTCATATATTTTGCAAGTTAGGGTCCAATTTAAAACACAAATCATTCTTATTACCTTCCTTTTTAGGGCTCTGTTAGCTTCTTGGAGCATTTGTTCCTGCAGTAGCAAAATAGAACAAATACATTAAAAGCACATAAAGAAGATGAATATTGCAATACTAAATCACTACATAAGTTAACTCACCTTTCTTTGGAGATCAGACAGCTGATCAAGCATTAATTGGGTCTGCAGAGCATTTAGAAAGAGGTTAGTTGAAAAATAGTCTGCTACAAATTACTCTCTTGGAACAAGATAGGGTCATTAGAAAGAAGCATTAATGAGAGGCACAAACTGAATAACTTTTGTAAAAGAATATCCATTACAATATTTTTTTCTCGGGTTAAATGGAAGATATCTGTTATGCACAATTTGAGGGCTTCAACAAAACTTTGTTTACTAGTTGCACCTACAGTATGGTGCCATTTCCATTTTCTTCCTAAAAATAGTTTATCTAATGACCTATTATGATAGTCTTTATCTTTATTTCACACATTTTATTCATTTCTATTTCTTCCACCCTTGAACTCAATATTACTAGATCCATTCTATTCATGATTTTCCCTGCAGCTTTACGAATGTTATTCATTTCTATTTCTTCAACCCTTGAACTCAATATGACTAGATCCATTCTATTCATGATTTTCTGTGCAGCTTTACAAATGTTATTCATTTCTATTTCCTCAACCCTTGAACTCAATATGGCTAGAACTACTCCATTCATGATTCTGTGAACAGCTTTGATGAGTAAATGGAGTAACTTTTTTACATAAAATATGACAAGTTATCATTGTTCCCTGCAATGAGTTAATAGACCAGGTAAATAGAATATGAATGCCAAATCAATTCCAACTAAATATTATAGATCCTAAACCCAGTCTGTTGTTTTTCCACAATAGAAATGACACTAATGTAAAGTTCCTTGTCCATTAAAAGAAGTCACATCTGTAAACTACCAATTTTCTTACTTGCTTTTATTTCTTTGACCCTTGAATCCAATCTGGCTACAACCATTCTATTCATGATCATTGATGCAACTTTTGCACAAGTGGACCATCAATAGTATATACAAATGGAGTACTCTTTTTATAGAACAAGATTAATCATCACTATTTCCTATAATAAAAACCCAATCTGGTGCTTTGCCAAAATAGAAAAGACATCAATGTGAAAACCATTTTCTTAATAATTTCTTACCTGTGAAACTTTCCTCTCTGCCTAACTAGAGAAAGTTAAAATACTAGCAATTTTAAAGCAGCATTCTCATTATAAGAACTAAGGACATATTAGGATTGTTAAAAATTCTCAAACTCCTGCAAAGTTTAAGAGGTCCATAGGTGAAAGATGTAAGGCTGTGGATCCGTTGTCCGAAGAGAAAAATGGTTCCTTGGTAAGCCAAACTCCTGTGTGTGACCTGACCTTTAAACTGTCAAATGTAAAAGAAATCTTACCATAGAAAATGATAGCTTTCATAAATGGTTCCCTTCTTATCTGCAATTTGAGAAATGATATAAAGCAATCCTTTTCATGAATACTTTCATACCAGCATCAGAAATAAAATCCTCAAAGAATTTGAGGCTTTTAGCCCAAATGAATTGTTCTGCTTAATTCTCTTGACTTCATGTCAGCAGATAAACTAAAGAAACATGACTAACAAGGAACATCCTAGTCAACAAGATCAAACCAAAAGTTAGGGCATTACATCCATTAGAAATATTATCAAATAGGATGCTTCTAAATCTTCTTAACCCACCAAATAAATTACAACAAGTAATCTATACATTTGATTACCGTAACAGTCCAAATATATGAAAATACAGGAAATCAGATTATTATCGTTGTTAGCACTTGACAAATGCATTTAACCAGTAAATTCATTGTAATATAATGTTTATGAGAATGCAACCAAATTTGATTTACCTTTGTTGATCTGATTTGCTTCAAAGACATCTCAAGCTGATGCTCAAGCTGTTCAAGCTCTTTTGTGCTTAGTGGACCCAAGTCTTCTCCAAGAAGGTTTCTATGGTATAAGGATTAAAGATTTTATGAATAAAATAATCAGCCAACTCATCTCTAAGAGTTGAACAAGTACCTTGATAAGTTCACAAATATCAGATCACAACATAAAATAAAAGAAATATTTGAACACATGCCAGTTTGGGAACTCACCTCTGAGATCGTTGTAGGACCTCAACTCTTGCTTTCAGCTTCAAATATTCCTGGTAGCTGCTCTGCACGAGGAAATGATAATAGTAAAACTGTCAGTAGTCCCCTACATCAAAAGTCAAACCGAATTCTCAACAATGTATCGATCTATTTCCCACCAGAATACATCAACAGATAGGTAGGTACTATAAAAATCAAGAAGAGTATGATCGTTTAGAGGCCTTGATTTTAAGAACCAAAAGAAATGAGCTAGGAACATCGAATAACAGAGATTTCATATCAGGGCCTATGATTGCTTTTATTAACATTATCATTATCTCCAAATAAACAGTCAACAGAATTTAAAAGATATTACGTTACCTGTGTCTCCTTGGCTGGCTGGCTAGCTTCCAGTGCACCGTAACTGCATTTTTGGTAACGTTCGAGGGTCTTGAGCATGCTACAGATGGAAGAGAGCGAAAAAAGGAGTGTGAGAATACTAGCAATCCACCTACTAAAGATGGCAAGAATTACATGTACTTTCACAAACATGTGCATAAGAAGGCACTCTAGAAACCATAGTAATATCGCTGGGCACCCCAACTATCGAAGCTGGAGTTAATTGTGGAATAAAATCATATAAGTGAAGTTCAGAAAAATAAACAGAGATCATTCACACTACAAACATAAACTTAGGGGAACCTTTAGCGTACGTCTACGGTAAAAAACTTGGGCTACTCCACAGAGTGTTCATTAAACAGTATTTCCCTCTAGGGTTAAGCTACTCTACAGAGTTCGGTAACACCCGTTTAACCGACTCATGATTTATTGATTTGGTACAAATTTTGGAATTGGAATCACTCAAACCAGCTAACGGAAATTGAGTCAGCAAGCGCGCAACGCAACCATATTGAGTATAGTGATCCATTTCCTCCCTTTTCTGCCTGGTCTAGCTTCTTCGTCTTCCTTTCGTCAGGAAGACTATCACTATCAGATCAGGAGTTACTCTCCAATGGAGGGAGGATTAACAGTTGACTCTAAACAGTGGTGAGTGAGTGGGGCTCGTTAATATAGAGACTTGAAGTTTAGATCTAACGGTGGAGAATTAAAAACGTTGACGCTGAGGAATTGCACGTGCCATTTGACACGTGCTTTATTTATTTATTGGATTGAAAAAGCTTTCGCCTTTGACGTCGAACGGTCATCTCGGCGTCAGTATCCAGGCCCCTTAGCACCCTACTACGAGGGGACAAGAAGCAGGCAAAGCCTGAAACCAGAGTTGCACACTGACCCAGTAGGTCAGTAAAGTAGCCATGTCGATTGAGGTCATTGCAGACGCATAGCCATGAAATGACGAGGCCCCTTCAACTTCAAGCTTCCTAAATTACTTTAATGTAAGGTCCTGTTTGGATAGATTTCTATTGTACTTTTAAAAATATCAAAATATAAAATTCATAAAATACTTTTATTTTGGTATTTTTGTATTGAAAATCCTTTGGATAAAAAACATTGAAAAGTATGCTTTTCAAAACAGAAGTATCATTTTCTGTTTGGCAAAATCATGTCTTATCATGCTTCCAATGACATTTCCAATGGTTTGGCAGTTAGAGACCGATGGAAGCCGCTCTCAATAAAATGATTGCAGCTGCAGATGCTCAGGGCCAGATTAGAGGTTGGAGGGTTGGAAGAGACCAAGTAATTATTTGATACCTCTAATTCATTGATAATACAATTCTATTCCGTAAAGACAAAGGGAGTCTAGAAGCCGGTGGTGGAGAGATTTGCAAAAAGAAAAATTATATTTCCTTAGGGAGAAGAATCACCTTGATTAAGACTATATTAGAAATCTAGCCACTTACTTCCTTTCCACCTTTCGCATCTTGTTAAGGATAACAAGGCAACTATAAAAGTATATGAATGATTTCTTATAGGAACTAGGTGAAGAAAAATGATTACTTGGTTAAGTGGAAACATGTTAGTAAGCCAAAAGAGCATGAGGGTTTAGGTTTAGGAAACATTACTCACAAGAACAATACCTTATTAGATAAATGGTTGTGGAGATTTCCTTTTGAAAGAAACAGATTGTGGCACAAAGTAATTACAAGCATTCACATCTGAAATGTAATAATTGAGGTGCTACTTATGAAGTTTACTCTAACTTTATTAGTTTCATCCATTATGATTTCTGAAGAGGGGATAGAATCCGCTTTTAGGAAGACTTTTGGGTAAGGGAGTCACCACTAAAAGATCAATTCCCTGATCTTTATGCCATTTCCGATTTTAAAAATGAAACCATTTTAATTTGGGTGTGTCTTTCCAATTAGGGATCAACTAGAACCTGGGTTTTAGAATAAGTCTTAGGGAAAGAGAATGCAATTTGTTGGTTGATCTTCTTGGAACTTTGTATACAATTTTCTTAGATCCGAACTTGGAAGAGTCTAGGTTCTAGGTAATTTCCCCATATGGACTCTTCTCTTGCTCCTCCTTTAGACTTCTTGCCTTTGCCAGCTTCCAAAGGGTGGTTCTCCAAACAAAAGAACTATGGAGTAAGCCTATCCCACCAAATATTCAAGCTTTCTATTAGACTCTTTTCCTTGATAAGGTAAATACATGTGATTTGCTATAGAAAATGAGGACTTCCTCCTACCTCTCTCCTCATATGTGTTTTATATGTAGCTATAGCGGAGAGTTCATCTCCAATTTATTAATATCCTATTCCTTTGTACTTTGTATCTAGGAATTTTTCTGATCTCTCTTTTGGCAGTAGGTGGGACCCTCCCTAAGAGGTGATATACATTTTCAATCCTAATTTTTTTTAGGCAACAAAAGAAGAGATAGAGAATAATGTGGAGAGCCACTAAGGCAAGTGTGGGAGGAAAAAAATAATAGAATTTTTGTTAGAAAAAGTAAAACTTTGGAAGAGGTAATTGACAACATAAAATTGAGGGTTGCCTTGTGGATAAAAACATTAGACAATTTTCAACTTTTCTCAATAACTGACACCCTAAGGGCATGGAAGGAAATATCGCAGTCTTCTAGAGAAAAGGAAAACTTAAGAGTTCATCTAGAAGTTAATAAAGAAAAATTGAATTTTAATGGCAACTCTATGGGCAACCTGAGAGTGACAGGAATGGGTGGAACAATTACAAATGCAGATTGCAAGAGTTTTGGCTTTATATTCAGGGCCAATTGACATTACAGACTTAATAAAGGAAAAGTTATTGGCTTTACCACTAGGTCTTTGGTTGGTAAAGCAATTGGGTTTTCGATAGGTGAAAATAGAAGGGGATTTAAAAGTAGTTATATCTTGGGCAAGTTGTAACAGACATATTCCATGGACCCATAAACATATTTTCAAAAAGAGTGAAAAGATTAGAGGACATAAATGTTGATTTCAAGTGAACTAAAAGGAGTGCAAATGGGCTATCAAATACTTAGGGGTTGCAAAGTAGTGCCTATCTTCTCTTTGAAATTACGATTCTCTCTCTCAGGGATGACAGTGTGGTCATCCGTTTGTACTTAATCCCATATGTTTTAATTAATGAATCAATCTTTATTACTGATAGAAAAACTTGGAAATTGATTGTATGCTAGAATGCTATGGCCACATTACTTACCAATGAACAATCTTGACATCCTAATAGGACAAATGAGGGCTAAAAGGAAAGTACCTAATAAGAGAAACTTGATTGACCTATGGGTTAACAAAAAATATGGCTGTGGATAAGATGGTTGAGCTATATATGTATTAATTAAATTGTCCTTTCTTACTCTTCAATCATCCCAGTGACTGAAGAATTTAGACTCTAAGCTGAATTGCAGAATGAGGATTGTTATCACCTATTGATCTCTTCCTTTTTTATTGTAGATATATGAAATTGGTTTTTTATTTTATTTTGGTGTAGGTGAAACTTGCCATCCCAAGTAAATATGCTTTTTGACCCATCTACCTTTGGGTGGCCAATGAAGATAATGAAGTTAATGTGGAAATGTATTAGGGCAATTCTCTTATGGATCATTTGGGAGGAAAAAAATGCTAGAATATTCCAAGATAAGGAGGGGAGCCATGCTAATAAAGGAGTGTATACTATAAGGGCAATCCTTTGGTTAAAAACTACTGATTTCTTTGTTGACTACTCTAGTGATGACCTTTGAAGGAGCTAGTTAACAGTGGCTTCCACTTTATCCAAAAAAATAATAATAAAACACAAGCAAGGTGGTTACTCCCCCTTTGGAGGGGGTTGTGAAGTTGAACTTCGGTGGGACCAGTCAAGGTAATCCAAGACCTTTAGCATTGAAGGGATTTTGAGGAACAAGGACGGTGGCATGCTCTCCTTATTTCCAGGTCCAATAGGATTTGGAGACTCTACAAAGGCTGAGTTACTAGCTACAGTACAAGGATTACAGATTGCCAACCAACTTGGAGTGAATAATTTGATAGTTAAGGAAGACTCTAAGATGGTAGTGGAATGGTTGTCAGACCCGGATACTATTGTTTAGGGCTATAGGGATATCCTCAAAAAAGTTAAATGACTTACAATAACTATGTCAATTTTTAGTGGGTTAGCGAATAGGCCAATGCCATGATATATTCTCTAGCTAAACAAGGAGCTTTAAGGGATTCTTTGTTTTGGGCTACTTTGTTACTATAATTTGAGTAGAGTTTGGGTTTGGGACCATCCTTTAAGGGGAGGCAGCATCTCATTCCTCCTTTTAGGGTGTTTGTACTATTTCTATCTCCATTTAATAAAATTACCATTCATTCATAAAAAAAAATATCCCAATGACTATAAAATGTATCTAAAACAACACGATCATTCTAAAACAATAAAAAATTCTACAACACCAACATTTTTGTTTCTTTTTTTTTACGTTTTTGTTTTACTTATCAAAAAATAGCTAGTCAATGTTTTTGCTTTATTTTTTATTTTTTTGAAAATTCACACTTTAGAATAAAAATTAAAAAACAAAACAAAAACTTCTTGAACTGTGTTTTTGTTTTGGGAAGTAAAAATACGTTGCTTTCGTTTCAAAAAAATAATTCATGTTTTTCAAGCCATCAAATTTATGGTTTTTTAAGTAAAAAAAATGTTGGAAAATAGATATGATATGGTTGATTCATGAAAAATGAAGAGATATATTGTATGGTTTAAAACAAAAACATGTTTTCAAACCAAGAATTCAAGGACAGTATTTCATTTGTTTTAGAATAAAAAAATGCATTTACAACCAAGAACATGTTTTCCATGCTTTATTTTAAGAAATAATTTGCTTTTAAACCCAAATGGTTTTAATTTATTTTTGGAACTTGCAACAAGAAAAACAATTCACAATGAAGTAACACCTCCTAAATCTATGAGTATTTTGGTGTTGCCAAAAGGAAATCAATGAAATGCTTATTGTACAAGTTGTGATGCAAAATATCAATGCCCAACAATATTTTCTTAAATGCAAATTGTA